AGCATGTTATATTGTCTTTTCTCTTTACTATACAGTGTATTGTTACTTTTCTTTCACACTGCTGATACACTATGCCCGATACACTATGCCCTAGTTTAGGATAACCTAGTGGTTAGGAGCATGTTCAAAACTAAAACTAAATTAGGAGGAGCTACTACGAGGAGTTTGAAGCAAACATCGTGGGCAGCGCGACGAGGAATAATTTTCAGGCGGATCTGCAGCAACGAAACATCTTCACATCATATGAACATTTTCACAACTCTATACACTTTCCTTAGTTTAAATAACAACCCCTATGATCATTTCTTTAGGCTTTTTGCACAACTTTGTTGTGTAATTATAAGTCCTAACGTTTTAGGATTCCGAGGTTACCGTTCGGTACGGTGTAAATCCTCATGTCTTTTAGGCTATTTGCATAGTCTGGCGTTGTGCAAACATAAGTCCTAAATCCTAAATAATTTGCAGGATTGAAATATCAAATAATTATCACTTCAAAGACATAAAGCCGAACAATAGGATAGTTGGGATATCTCTGGGGTTTCTCCTAGATCTGTGATGTCCCCTACTTTTCTTCCATTTGGATTCCTTAAATAATTGTTCCTATTTTGAGTCATTCCCATTTAATTTTTCCATGTCCAATCGTGAAAACCTAAACTTTGAAATCTTGAAAACAAAATCACCTGATCTTAATCGAGAGTCTTCTTAAGTGATTTCGATCATTTAAGATGTAATTAACTATAAGGGGATTGCCTCTATAGGAAACCAGGAACCCAGATAAAATAAACATTATCTAATCCTCGTGTTAGATAGGGGAACTTGTTGGCCTTTTTATGAAAAATATTTCGCAGACCAAACGGATGTCACAAATTGTTTAGTCTAGATGATTGAATCTCTATTACAAAGTGATATATTTATTCTTCGGGATAAGTGTATTGCTTGTAGTATTGTATTAAATCATCTAAATTATTTGAAAATGTGAGACTCGTTTGGTCTCACTTATTTTAAAAATTAAAAACGTTACTTCTTTAAAAAAAAAAAGTTATATTTATATTTAAATTATTTCTAAAATCACAAAATCATCACTTTTTTTTCAAATTACGAAGTTGAACAATAAAACGGCCGACAATAACATTGAGCCAGAATAAGATGACAAAATTTAATATATAATAATTCTCCTAAAGATAATGAAAATAATGATGAGGTCGCTGCGGATCTTGATCCTCATGGTTTGATAAAAATTTTAAAGTGAGTGCTTATCTTAATTATCATTACATAATTTCCTTTTTTTTATCAATAATATTGAAATTTTTTATTTATCTCTTTATGATGATAAATTAAATAAAAAACAAAAGTGTTAAAATAGTCTCCTAACTCTTTCCAAGGAATGGGTCATCTTACTCCCAAAGTTTATAAAAGATGTAAATTAGTTCCCAAACTCTTTTGATGGGGCTGAAATAATCCTCCATGGGAACAATTTCAGCCACCTATTAAAATAACATGGAGACAAATTTTGCACTCGCATAAAATTTATAATTAAAATTATCCATGTAAATAGCAAAGGGACTATTCTAACACTTTACTCTTAAACCAATAAATCATTAGTTTCCATCATATTTATGAACTATTTTAATTTTATGAGTTTTCTCTTTTTTCTATTTTGAGACATACTCTTCATCTTGCTAAGAGAAATTGCATTAATTCCCAACTTCATCTTTTTAACCCTTCCAATAAATTGAAGATAGCAAAGTAAACAAAATAAGAGAAAACATGGTCTGTTCTCCAAGGAACCACCACCACCACCACCAACAACAACAAAAAAGCCTTAATTCCACTACGTGGGGTCGGCTACATGAATCCTTTTTCTCCATTACATCCTATTTAGTGTCATATTTTCATTTAGTTCTAGTAAATTAAGATCATTTTTAATACAATAAGCCCAAGTCTTCCTAGGTTTACCTCCTAGGTTTACCTCTGTCTTTCTTAACACAAGTCGAATCTAAAACATCTACTCTCCTAATAGGATCATCAGATGGTCGACGTTTAAAAAATTTTACAATAAAATAATCTTGGAAAATTTAAAGTAAGATATGAAGAGAATTAAGACAACATCAACATGCACAAATTGCATTCCCAATGAATAAAGTCTTTAAGTTATATCATCGAGCCATCTCAATTAGTAAAGTAGTCCTTGTTTAAAATTGTGCAATATGAGGCACGCATTGAGACCCGCATCAACATTTTATACAAAAAAATTGAAACAAGGCATATGTCTCGCTATCCCAAAGTGTTGCATACATCTCACCCCAGCTGAGTACCGCCTTTAGGCTCGCCTAGCCTAAATAAAAGCTTATTTTATTTAGTTTATCGATAATTTTATTAACAAAATTAAAATTAATATAGATACACCACGTCTATTAAAACTCACATCACATACACTAAATAATAATAAATAAAAAAGATATCTAGAAATTTTTTGTATTAAGAGTTTTAATTATCAACATGATTATTATTTTAATTAATATTTTTATTAATGATTATTGATTAAAAAGTAGAAAACTACGATTAAAGATAATGAACAATGAGAGAATATAGGTGCAAATAAAAATAAGGCACGAGATAAACAATTCATTGTGTCAATGATCCTAATAAAAATCAATTGGGTGATAAGAGTAATAAGAACTTTTAAATTTTAAATTTTAAATGTTATTGACTTGGCATATTCATATTTAAATGGGGTACAATATCAATTGGAGAGAGAGACTTATGTTTAACTTATTTTGATTGATTTGTTTTGATGTTTTAGTATTTTATTTTAATATCTTGGCTTCTTTTTATAATTTAATGTTTATATAACAAATTTTATTTAATATTTTATGTTAGGATATTAAAATGCTACTGCTAATTTTATGCAAATTTTTTTTTTATGTAGTTAGAATATTGTTATAGAATTTTTTAAGTGGATCCACCTACGTGCCACCCAATTCCTATGTATTCACATATCTGACTCCTAAACTTCGATTTTTATGTACATGCTACCCCATCCCTAGCTTTTGGCAATAAGTATGGGTGGCCTATACATAAAAATTGAAGTTTAGGTGTCTAATATGTGAATACATGGGAATTGTGTGGCATGTAGATAAATATCCCCATATTTTAATAAGTTCAGAAGTTAGAATATTAATTAATATGTTACTCCTTACTTTATATTTTATAGTTTATATAATAATTTTTTTAATTTATGCAATTTTAAAATTTGAGCCTTCCATCTCGCCTCATGAATGAAAAACGCCACAATACCCAATTGTGCATATTTTAAACCTTGAAATCATGTGAAAACTTGATTACAATTAGCCCTTTAGTAAAGTATTAGAGCGTCCACTCATCCGTCAGAAGCAAGCAATGAATGAATTATGATCAGTTGTTCAGCGGTAGCCAAGTCAACTAGTTGATATTTGCGCAATGAATTGAGTGGTGCTCAGCATTGGAAGGGTAATCAATACTAAGCCACTAAATATTCAGCCAGCAGAGCCACAGTCCAGTAGAGTAGGCTGAGTCACTCTCAACCACTAGACTGATGCAATGAGAACGGCTTCTAACCTCTTCTGATGGAGTCATATTTATCACTCTCATGAGCACCAAATATCAAAACATATTGAATTGGATAAACAAACAGCAGCCAAGCGACAAATCAACACTCATGATAAATTCATACAATACACAAAGTTTAGGTATTTAGTTTAACTAAAACTAAATTATTTTCATGTCCTTATCTTCTTCAGTAAAAGCAAAATGTTCTATACTCACATTTCAAGAAGAGAAAAACATGATGCAAGTATTAGGAGCAGCTAACGATATATAAATAGAGCCAACTTTAATACGATCGTGCTCATGGTATATCAGTAAAAAGCTCCCAGGTTTCAACGGGCATACAAACTGCAAATCACCACAACATTTTTACATGGAGCCAAGTCAGGAAGCTTAGATGTCAACTAAGTGTAAAAAGAGTTAGCCTTAAGGTATTTGAAGGTAAATGATTCAAAAGGGAGTTAAACTGCAATATCCAGTTTGTAACCACTAAGCCCAATCTCCATGACAACTTGAAAGTTTTTAAGGTATAATCCACAAATTTTCCATACTTCATAAAATGGTTAATTCCAACAAATAAACAATTTAGGTGAATCCCAACTCAATGTAGGAGCTAACCAATAAGCAAATTAACTTAGAATGATGAGAAACTAAGAATCCTCACTCAAACCAAAATGGCACAAAGAAGGTAAGGTAATATAAAGACTTCTAAGTCTTTTCAATGCAAGGCTTAGATAGGATGACGGAAATGAACATGTCAATCAACTGATCATTTTTATTAAAGATCAATAATTTTGTTTGTAAAACCAATAAAAAACTGAAAGAAGAGAATGAAGAATATGAGTACACCACACCACAACTAGATTAAAAGCTTCAACAAGATTAATCGCTTAAAAAAGCCCACAAGTTATACCAACAAGAAAAAAACATGTCAGGAAATGCTAAGCAAATTTACCAAGCTGAGAGCTTCCAAGAGATTAATCTCACAGTAGCCAACAAGATTGTTCCTCGACAATTTATTGGTCTGCAAAACATAATGATTGTCAAAAGTATAGTACTCATAGAACTACATCAATATATCAGAGAACTAAGAAATGATGACATTAAAGACATGCTTAAAAACTGCATCAAACAAAGAAAAAAATCAACAAGGTTAGGTTCATGGCTGTGACAGAGAGACATGAGAAATTAAAAAATAAAAACCATTATAACAAAAAAAGAAAAAGGTTAAGATTATGTCCTCATCCCTTTCAAGTGCTAATGAGATGGCAACATAACGGTAAACAACAGTCAATAATGGTTGATCAAAAAATAAAAACTCCCTGAACATCATCAAATAAAGAATATATATTCCTTAGAAGAAAAAAACAAACATTAGCGTAGGAATATTTCACCATTAATGGTTTGTAACATACCTCAAACACAGATATCCGTGCAATATGGGGTCCACCCCTCTCCAAAATAACTTTCTTTTCCTACATAATATTAATATGAAAATTTAAAATGGTTAAAAAAAGTAACCTCTTCAATTACAACAGCAATACCTAAAGAACTTATTAGTTGATAAGCTAACATTCTCTCTACTATCCAAGATAAATTCAAATTGAAAGATATGAAGACTTCAGTTTTAAATCATGGAAATACAAAGCATCATTCACTGCTGCTGAGGAAAAAAATCATGGATATTCGTATTCCTTTATTCTTAAGATTGACAGGGTAGAATTAAGTTCCTCCTATGTCTTTTTACATTTCTTCAGTTCTTTGCCTGTATGTAATTAATTAATGGAACAAACAAAACACCAAAAGCCCGCATTAAGAGCAATCCTACTCTCCAAGTAAGAATTGCTGAAGCAAGAGTGCATACTTCAACTAAATAAACCATCCAAGATAGAAATCTTCAGTTTTCCATGTGAAGAGAAAAAAAAGAATACATCTAAATTTGCATCCAACAGATCATTGGCTTTATTAAGGTAATGCCTTCAAAATTCAGCACCCGTCATGTTATGCCTGAAAACCTCCATAAATATTTTTGTAACAGCTTCATGATAAAAAAATAGTTCATAATCGATTAAAAGAAGAGCAAGTTGATAAATAAATGGTAGGGAGGTGTAAATGAACGAAAAAGGTGTGCAAGATATTGTTTGGCACATTTTTATATTGCTTTAATTTTTTTTTTTACATTTTATCTTCGCTCCTTTAAAAGGGAGCGCATGATCACTTACCTTTATGTTTAAAAGAATGCGAACAAAATTGGAAACAAAAGAAAAAAAGTTGCAAAAGCTACTTACTGATTTCCACACAGGTTCATCAGTTCTGCAACATATCCAGGACCAATTAAGGAAATGAGTTAGGTTACTCAAAATCATTGATAAGAAATTCAAACATAGTATGAGGATAATAGCATGATTTCAAGAATACAAGTCCACTGAGAAACATTATTTTGTGAAGAATACGTATGGAAAAATCATCATAGCTAGTAAGTGAATGCTTCTCTAATTCCAGAAATTCAATTTACACAAACAATAGATGCAGGTCTGTTAATACCTCCCTGCCTGAGTTATTGGGCCAAGCGCAATGATTATTACCAATATATGTTGATGCTCAATTATAAACAATTGTATGTATAAATGCTCACATGTATATGAAAAAGCACTTAAAAATTGCATATTAATGAATTCATGCACGCATGCCTAAAAGCATATTAATATGAAAGGAAGAATGGCTTGTGCAACAGTTTGTTCCGACCATCATTGTAGCATTTCATATGTTCCTCTTGGTAAGAAGAGTACTTCTTTGAGCATCTCTAGCTCGAAAGCACTATTCAAACAAGAAATTCAAAAAGGACAATATTTTCCAAAGCATAGAACTGAGGGAAACCCTCTAATGCTCAAAACAGTTGTTTGAAATAAGAAAAATACTAAAGGGTCCTTTCGAGGAGGGTTGCACACTTCCCATGTCTAATCCAGACTAAAATATATATAGAGAGCAAGTAGAGAAAATAACTTGATAAATAAACACACACATTGATGAAAGGATGCAATTTTAGTGGCTACAAATTGCATTGTGTGGGTTTGATGCGGAGCATCTTCCACGTTAGGCCAGGCAGGATGGGTTGGGGCACGGAACATTCCGTTATGAGATTTTCCTGCCCACAGGGGCATCTGACCATTATGGGCCCCTATTTTGTTTTATTTTGAATTTTACTTGGGGCTTCTTGTTGTCCTAATAAAAATATTATGTTGGGAGACCAATTTAAATACATTTTTTGCTTGATGTTATGCATTTAGAGATTGTTTCCTTTGAATCTATGCTCTTATGAGTGTTGTAAACTTCTTCACCTTCATATGGTGAGCTTTTATCATGATTGAGCGTAGGTGGTGAAACCTTCCAATGTCTGTATATTGCCGGCCAAGCTGCCGACCTCTTCCTCCTTGTTGTTTTTCCCTTAGTAAAGCAACCGTCGTTAATTCCTTTTATGATTCCCTGTCAATTCTCATATTTTCCCGTACTTAATCAGCAAACATGATCAACCATTAATTCAATCCTCATACACAATCTAAAAACCCTACATCTCTGCCATTTGATATCAAAGTCAAAATCTAATCCAATTTTCTAACCCTAACTCTAGAACTCCTCGTAGGTTGAAACTTTATATCCTAAACGGCCCACACCTCCACCAAAATCAAACTCTCATCATAAAATTGAGCACCATACGCCCTCTCTCCCATTCAATCAACACCATAATAACCTTCCATTGGTTGAAACCATAAATTGAGAAGGACACAACATGCCACCAAGTATAAACGTACAAAAAATTGTCCAAGAACTCACAATAAAGAATATGCATATAGAAATCCTCCAACTCCAGCAAAGGCTTGCTGACTTTGAAGGAGGATACCTTGAAATTCACTCATAGCCATAATGGCTAATCCATAGAGATGAAGAACAAATATCTTAGGGACTTGGCATTAACTATTTAAAAAGAAATAATGACTTAAGGGTAAAAATCGACTTATCAAATTTTGACAATCACATAAATCTGAATGTTCACTGAATGGCTATAGAATTTGGAACAAATCTTTGAGTACAAAAATATTCCACAAACAATAGAGTCAAATTGGCAATCATCAAATTCAACAAGTGCACTCGTGTTGAAAAACAGAAAGTACTTTCTACAACGAGAAAAATATAGTAAGATCATTAAATAGTCTACAATAAAAAAGACAATACAACACAAATATATTCCCCCGTATTATCGATAGTATATGTCTTTAAAACTCCACAATCTACACAAAAAAAAATCCATGGAGTATACAGGAGAATTTGAATAAAACGTGTTGAAATGTGAGTAGATAAAGCCAAGTGAGCATACAGTGGCAAGATCCATTGGAGAATTAAAGTGATCTATTAGCTAGGCGGTATAGCTATAGTCATTTTGGTTCCTAGTTGATAAACATACCCTCAATTTGAAAATGGAGACGTATTATCATCACATTAGGGCTGCCACAACCTTGCAAGCAGAGCTCAACCCTGTGAATAAGCAGCAACACCTGCTAGAGCACCCAAACCAACCTCACATGAGAAAAAATCAGCTCAGAAGTGGGAGTATGGATGGATCCAACACTTCCAAGACCTTAACAACCAGTAACACTTCAACTATCATAACTTGAGTACATTACATCCAATTTTTCAAACATAAGAATGATATATATCACTAAGCATGGAGCGATAGAATAAGTGGACAATAACACTAAATATATAAGAGAGATTGAGGATTTTAAGAAATACTAGATCCCTGCAAAAGGAAGAGGGAGAGATGTTAGTGATTTGACGGATCCTTCAAACTAAGCCAAAAAATAAATAATAATAGCCCCGTCAAAATATTTTTCGTATCAATTGAATCGTGACGGAATAGATGTGTAAACTTATAATTGACAAGGACAGTTGTGAGAATGTAATGTCTGCCCAATGATTGAAAAATAGTCTCATCACAGAAAAGCACACCAACCATATTCTTTCTGACTTTTAAAGAAAATGGATGAGATCACTATTGATAAGAGTTTAGTGTTCTCTATTATAGACAAATTTCAGAAGCATATGTGACGTGATGTAGTGCTTATGGGAGCTTGTCAAATCCTATTGAGCCTCCTCTGACATTATAATCGTTGCACACATCATGAGAGCAATAAGAACACACAATCGTTGCACACATCATGAGAGCAATAAGAACACACATTTATTCACCAAGGATGGAAAGTGCATTGTCTCTTTACTTTGAAAGAAGTCTGAGATAAAAGGTATTCATAAAATATCCAAGAACAAAGTGCCCATGTATGCCTTTTTAAAAATCTTGAGAGATGCTCTAAGGAGACCAGCACTATAAGTCCTAAAAGATTGTGAGTCCAAGTAGTCAATACCATCAAAAATGAAACCCCTACTGAAGCAGTTTCAGAATGTTCCAACTGATAGTTTATCCCTCTCACCATTCAAAAAGATCCAAGCTGAAAGAGATTTAATCCTAAAATCGATTATCCTAAACCAATTTGTTTAGTGGATGAGACCAATAAAGCACCAAGAGTTATAAAGCATGTTGCAAGCCTAATTACTAAAGGCTTAGATAGTGAGAGCATTAGCCCATTTGCAGTTCTAGTTTTGATTGTCATAAAGAAAAATTATTGTTGGTGCATGAGAATTGATAACAGGGATGTGAACAAAATCACAATTAAATATCAGTTCCCAATGCCACAGCTCGATGCTTTAATGGATAAGTTGCATGGAGCCAACATCATTTTCAAAATCAATTTCCAAAGTTGTTACCACCAAATCTAAAAGAGAGTATGAAACGAGTGAAAAATAAATTTTTAAGACTCGGTATGGATTGCATAAGTGGATAGTCATATTTTTTGGCTTATCCAATGCACCGAGCTCTTTAGCATAACATGAACTAAATTTTTCATGCATCCATTGAATAATTCGTCATTGTATATCTTGATAATATTGGCGCATAGCAATTCTATGGAAGACCGCTTAAGGGAGGTTTTTTAATGTTATCTTAAGAAGTGACACATTTTAACTATACAAAATTTATTTTTGGGATATGTTACATCAGCAGTTGGCATTGAGATGGATCCAGCTAAAATCAAGGTTGTCATGAATTATTCCGATTCATAATCATTTTCTTGGGTATGTCAATTCCATGGACTGATTTATTTCTATAGGATGTTTATCAAAAATTTTAACTACATGGCAGCGCCCTTGCAGAGCTGTTCAAGTTAGACAAATTATCTCGATCAAATGAGGCATGAGCTAGTTTTGAACCATTGAAGTAGCAGATTACCCGACCCCTACTTTAGCGCTTCTAAATTTCAATCGAGTATTTAAAATGAAGGGTGATGTCTCCAATATGAGGATTGGAGCTAGGACAAGATGAATACCCTATAGTCTTCTTCAATTAGAAATTGAACCACTGAAGATGAAAATATTCCATATATTACAATTAGTTATATATTATAACAAGAGCCCTTAATCATTAAAGTCACTATATGTTGGCTACTGAGTTAACTCTTTATACTTTTTAGAAGGAATTGAGGTTCTTAAATAATCAGCGTAGGCTGAAGAGAAAACATACCTCTTGGGTGGATTTTCTCTCTTCATTTAATTTAGTGCTTGAGCGCAAAGCTGGGAGTCCAAATAAAGTGATTGATGCTCTGAGTTACCATCATCTATTAATCATTTCATGTACTTAGAAGTAATTGGTTTTAAAGTATAGAAAATTATATATTCCACTGACAAAATTTTTAAGAGATTTGGTTTTGTTGTCATAATGGGGTGTGTTAGCAAATCCATATATTCGATGAGTACTTGTTCTTTCAGAACAGATTGTGAGATCTCACTCTGAGAGTCAATCTTGCAGAAATGTCACAATAGCGATATGTCTGGCCATTATGGCAAAGACAATACTTTTATTAGTGATAGAGAATTTTTATTAGCCTATAATACTACAGGATATGGAGAGGTATGTTTGACAATGCATGGAATAAGACTCGGTTATAGTAGTTGTAAACTACTCTAAAATGACACTTTGTACCGTACCACAACATGATGGACGTCTCACATATTATAGATATATATTTCAGGCAGAAAATTCAACTTCGTGGCGTTCGCAGGACAATCACTTCAAACATAAATGTGATATTTATGAGTCATTCCTGGAGGGTTTTATGGGGTAAACTGAGTACAAAGTCCTAGTTCAATTCAACGGTCCTAGTTCAATTCAACGGCATAATAAATCACAATTTAGAAAATCACTTTAAATTCTTTGTGGAAAAAAAAAATCATAGAGGACTTGATTTTCCCTCAATTTTAGTTTGCCTACAACAATTCACTAGCCAGTCCGTATGCCAATCCTTTTGAGAATGTATGCAGGCAAAATCCCCTCACACTTTTAGAGTTAGTGCATATACTTCTAGCTTTTTAGTTAAACACTGATGTAAAGCAAAGAGTCAAAACGATTAATTCTTTACATGAGTAGGTGAGAATAAAAATTAGGAAGCTGAATATCAAATATCAAAAGCTAACAAGTCTAGGAAAGCTATGATTTTTAACGAATGTGACAAAATGTGGATAAAATTGAAACATAAAAGATTTAACGAAAGTTTGTTTAAAAAGCTCAAGCTTAAAACTAACGGTTCATTCAAATTTATCAAGAAGATTAATGACAATAGTTATCAAATTGATTTGTTGGGAGATTATAACATTTGCTATCTTCCATATTGTCGATTTATCATCATGCTACAAGATCCAGATGCTCCATGTGATGATGGTGAGTCTATTCCTGTCTAGGGAGAGCGATGTGAGGCATTTTTCGCATCCTCTCAAATGGTACAAGAAGTCAAACAAGAAGTCAAACAATGGCCCAAAACATCCTATTACAACATTTCTCCCGCACACAGAAGTAAGCCGACCCTTTTGGGCCCATTTTTTTTTTATTTTAAATTTGAATTAGGGTTTATTATCGTCGTAGTTTTCGTATTCCATTGAGAGACCTATAAGAACACCTTTTATTGATTTTATGCATTACAATTTTTTTTCCTTTCGATTCTTACTCTTAGGAGTGTTGTAACATTCTTCTCCTTCAAGTAATGAGCATGTATCTTAATCGGGAGTAGGTGGTAAAACTCCCCGCATTTGTATATCACCGCCCAAACCATCAACCACTTCTTCCTTGCTACATTTCCTCCAAGATAGCAATTGTCGTTGATCCCCTTTGAATCCTTTTCAATTCACATCATTTTTATCCTTCTTATTATTCTACAAATATCTCCAACTCTCATATTGATCCTTGTACACCATCTAGAATCTATGCCAGCACTTGGCATGCATCTTAAGGTAAAGAGGCAATTGACTTGATGTTATAGATCAGATCCAAAACTTGAGTAGCCGTGGGCTAATGGATATCAACGCCAGGACCAAATGGATATCATAAGCATGTCGACCTAGCCTTGAGGTAGCAACAAGTGCATCTAGGGATGATGAAGATAAATGAGAAAATATCATTTTTTTTCCAAAACTAGAACACTTGCACCTTAATACTCTTACAATAAGTCTCCTATCATCAAAGAGGAAATAATAGTAATGCCCCACCCACTCGCTCCTCTTGGTCATTGGCTTAACCCAATTTAAAATTCTAGGTTAGATATGGTTCAAGCCAATTCAAGCTCCTTCCGACAAGAAATGAATAATAAAGACCATATAGCTTTCCACACATCTCCATCAAAAGCACATATAACTTGCATGGTGCAACCATGGTCATTTAATGCCCGTCAGAGAACCTCGATTATTTAACCTCCAAAAAAAATGAAAGATGACTATTTACCATGGTAGGGAATGGTAAATCTTCCCTTGTCTTCCATGTCCTTTGTCTCCTCACCTCAATGTGTGTGCCATATGTAGCTTCCTTAGCTCAAGTTGACCCAAATTAGCCCATCATAGGCACTCAATTACTCATATCAATAATTGTTTTTTATAATATAATTGTGTTTTTTATAATATAATTGATATGATATGGACATGTAAAGTCAAGCATCTCCCCTTAGAAGGTCCTCACCTTACCCAAGAAAAACTATAATACCTGTAGCTCTTGTAACTCATAAGTTAAAATTTAGAGTCTCTCCGTTTAAGTGTGTGTTGTTAAAATTTAGAGTCTCTCTGTAGTGTGTGTGTGTGTGTGTGTGTGTGTGAAAATATATATATATATATATATATATATATAAATGGTGGGGGAAAAGAGATTATGCCCACTGCATAAAAGTAAGGGCAGATTGTCTCCCAAGTCTCCATCAAAAGTGAGAGGTTGCTTAACAGATTTTTTGAACAAAAAGCATGCAGTAATAGACAACATTCAATCCACTATGTGTTTAACTTTTTGTGGGTCTTTAGTACTGCCTATTAACAAAATTTATCACCGGATTTACAAAATCAGTAAGATATTTATGAAATTTTGGATTTAAGTTCCCTAATGTTTCCTTTAATTAAGCTTAAAATTCAAATTTCCTATATTCAGCAGCAGGAAGGATTTACGGATTTACTAAATCATACTAATATTAAATCCTGCTTGCAAGCACTCTCTTTCTAACTTAAGATTTAAGAAATCCAGTCAAACGCAAAAATGTCGAAGTTCCATGGATTTATGAAATTTTGGATTTGTTATATCAAATGTTTCCTTTAATCAGAGCAGGAGGGTGGATATAAGGGAATTATGATTTGCAGATATACTAAATCCTACTTGCAGCCTAACACCCCCTTTCTATCTTAAGATATTTATCTTAGGTCTCCAACCACGACAACTATATCAATTATTACAACCATGAGTCCCCACATACTGAGTAGAAATTGAGCCAAGGTTAAGCGAATTACTTGAATAATGACACAAAATAGTTTTCAGTACTTCAAACACAAAAAACATTACCCAAAACAACACATTAAAGACGCATATCCAAAGAATCTTAGTTGGTCTTTTTATGGATAAGAACGTGCTTCTCAAAAGTTTAGGAATCAAAACTCAAAAGTGATCACCAGAACCTGGATATTCATACTCCAAACTCAAATCATGCAATACCTTTACAAAGTTGATATTATGAGAGCAACTTCCCCGAGATTCTTCGGTAACGGAAAATTCCAAAACGCAGAACACGTAGAAAGGTTAAAAACCAAACTTAACTGATCGGAAACTTCCGTCCGGTACGTCCGCTCGCCAATAGACAAGCAAGCAATCCACCGATCCCTAAACTTCATTTGTGCCTGTCATTGAAACGATATAACTTCGGTTCGGCGTTCGTGTGCTGAGCGTTAACCCTACTGAAAATAAGAAAAGAACCGTCGTATGTCCTTACGCTGATGATTTCGATGCGGGCGACTCCAACGAAATCCTCGGGGGTGAGGTTCGTCAAGAGAAGCGGATCGGAGACCGGCCGGTGACCGTTAGACCTGAAGCGCCGGCGGAACCGGGAAAAGCGCGACGGCTTCAACGAAGCGTCCTCCCGCTGCCCCCTCAGCCTCGAGCTTTCGTTCCCCATTGCCTCAAAACTCCCAGAAGCTAAATCCTACTTGTGCTAAACAGTCCCTGAGAGGGAAAAGTGTGACGGTTTTCAGAGGCAGGGCGTTGAAGTACACCTGCCGCAAATGCTTCTCTGACCAACATTCGCTGTCCACTGAAGCGCGTTTTCCATTCGCCGTGCTCCAAAATATCAACCAAACTTGGCGCCATTAATGACCAAATTGCCCCCGGGAATATTATAGTTTTTTTTAATTCTCATACAATTTTATTTTAATGCATACTTTACAATTTTAATTTAATTTTAATGCGTACTTTACAATTTTATTTTAATGCATACTTTAATGGATAAATTTATCATCAAAAGTATATTTCCAGCATAAAAACTTTTAAAAACGGGAGGAATGTAGTTAATGCAATTGTTGTGGCAGTTTAAGAAATAACGCTGAAATAGTGTGCTCCAAACAAACTCTAGCCAATATATTACTTTCAAAGTTGTAGGGGCATTTATATACATAGAACAGAACACAATATATTTACACATCACATGTACATTTTTATATTTACACACACACACACACACATATATATATA